AAAAAATAGGCATGTTTGTTTGTGATTTTAGAGGAATATTATAAGAGTCATATATAGATAGAACATAGTGATTAGAAGTATTTCAGATTCATGAGGTAAATATACATGTGCTTCTGTTTTGTCACTATTGACAGTAATCAGTTGATGACATGCGAGATACTTAGCATTGTTTTGTGTAAGATGTTCTTTAAAGGAGTTAATAGTTTGTGATTCTCTTAGTAGAGGAAGTTTGTAATAGGCAAGAAATTTGTTATAGCATATTTTCAAGTTATAGGGGTCTAATGATATTGATGATAACTTGGATGGAAGTTCTTCTGAAGGATGGCTTGCCGTTTTAAGCTCGGTTCTCACAGCTGCAAAGGATTCCATAGTCTGCCATGTACGTTTGGTTTGACCGTCATTATCTTGGTCCTTCGCATATAGAGGCTTTACCACCTGCCTCCATATCTCATTCCCCTTACTAACTACAATGGATATATCTTTTAGTAAGGTAGCAGCTACATTAATATTTTTCAGAAGAACTTAATTGTCCATATAGTGCTTATTTGTGTTTGTGTACATGTGTTTGTATTTGATTAGTGTGACTATACAACAGTCCTACTCTATATATATAGGAGATTACTCTTATATGGTCTTATTGTATGTTTGCACTGATCATATGGTTTGCATTCCTTCATCAGTCCCACCATCACACCAGATGAACGCCATACTCGGGATTTGCAAGTGGTTCTTCCTAATTGGTGCCCCATAGGTCATATTATGCATACAAATTTCTTTGTACTTTCAATTGTCATTAGTATAACCATAGATTACAGCATCCGTTACGCCTAGCATACCTAATTAAGTTGACATATCGGAGATATACAAGTTTTTGATATTTAATAATTGTTGCCGGTAGGAATTGAACTCTAGACCTGCCACTTGGGGGGTGACAACTTGACCACTTCACTAAGTCGCCACACCCCTTCATTCTACATATTTATAGGATTAAAATAAAAAATAATTATCGAATTTGACTCATTAGTTATTGAGAAACCATTGCTAGAAGTTTTTTTAAAAAAATAAATTTTAAAAAGGATCTTTGCATATATACATAAACCCCTCTAGCTTACCCACAAAATTTTTTCTGGTACGTGATTGTAGCCAATTAGATTGAAGGATCAGGTGTAATATGAAAATTATGCCTTTTACAAAAATTGCCAATAACTCGAAATTTTGTTTATAAAACTGCTTTATATGTTCTAACAAAAAAAATTTCTTGCGAAATTTTGGTATAATCTATGCTCATCCCTTGACCTTAATCCTAACCCTAAGATTATATTTATTGCATTAACTCTTTTGCTTATTCGATTATTTTGCTTTCGCATATTTGATTGTTTTGATTTTACATTACACCTGATCTTTCGATCTAATTGGCTAAAAATCATGTTTCGAAAAACTTTTCGTGGGTTAGCTATATACATATATGGTGTTATGTGATTGTGCAAAAAATTTGGAAATGTTGTTGTGGTAGTTTGTTCCCCATTATAAACTTTGTTGGTGGAGATAAATCATATGACTATTAGCCAATCAAATTATAGAATTTTGATGATCGTCGGTGAAGCAATACAAGAAAGAAAAACAAAAAATCTAAAAAATACAAAAACGGCAGTCAAAATCTATCTTGGGTAAGTTAAGCAAAAATGTCGGGAAGGCAATTTTACATATATATACCTACCTAAAACCTAACCTAACCCTAACCTAAGATGACCCTAACCCTAAATTAATTCAAAAATATTAATTATATAATTTATCTCCGCTTTAGACGTCCCCTTACTAGGGTAGCTACAAAAAATGCAGTCACGTGATGATTTTGGAGGTGTAACGTTGCACGATCCGTTTTGCTAACAAAAATTTCCTTGGGCGATTTTACTACTATACCACTACTAATACCTAACCGTCTACCGTAGCATAACACTTAACTCTAACGAATTTCAAGAATTTTTATCGCTGTCACGTGACTGCAATTTTTTGGGGAAGATAGAAGAACGCGTCAAACCACGAGACAATACCGAAACAGGCTGTATGACTTTATATAGCAACTTGAAAGGGTATACCCAAATACATGGGTTGCATTTCATGTGATTTTATCGGCGATGTACGTACGTACCAAATAAATAATCTAACGCTAAGATTTAGATTTGTGTTAATAATATGAAATAAATAAAATACAGTCAAACCCCTCTATAGTCACACCTTCGGGATACAAAAAACTGTGATTATAAAGAGGTGTGACTAATATAGAGGTATTTTCATAGTTATAAATAATTGGTCTATAGAGGAGGTGACTATAGAGGGTTTGACTGTAATTAACCAATTAACGTTAAGTTGACTTATAAACTAGAGCGATTGACTTCTTTTTTTTTTTTTTTTACCTAGGTAGTTTATATGCTTTTGGATGATTTTGTAAGTCACTTTTGTTCTTACCAGTTGTAAGAATTAATCGTAAAACTCATGATAGACAAAAAACTTTTTTAATAAAAAATAAAAAATAAAAGCGAAAAAGAATAAATACCAACTAAATTTGCATACATTAAACGAATATATTCGAATATTCATGTAATAGAGTGCGACATATCGCATATGCGAAAAATGTAAAACCCATAATAAATAGTTATCAGGCAGGCACTGCCTGATAACGGATTTATCGGGTAGCTTACTATAAATTTCTGCTCAATGATTTATTATTAGATAGAAACGATAGTTTAAACTATTTAACCTTTTTTTTCTGCCCAATAATAAAATTATTGGGCTGATAAATCATAGTAAGCTGCCCGATAACTTGGATTTATTACCTTAATTATCATTATAAATATCAACGTAATAATTATTATTGTCATTAATAAGTACATAATTATTATTATTAGTCTATTACATTAAGGTTGTTCTCAAGCAGCTTCCTCGATGTAATTTGCTAGTGATTGGGATGTTGCTCAATCATTTCGATTAGTTAAACTTGATAACAATTCGACCGAAAATTCATTATGCGAATGCAGATTTTAAATTTAATCAATCAATGCAGCTCTGAAAAAAAAAGATAGTTACCAGGTCCAAGCTTTTTTGACTTGAATGATTATCAAGATCTTTTTTCCTAGCGCTAGCTAACAGCTCACTTTATAAATAGAGAACATAATTTTCATGACTTGCATCAAGAATCATTTTTCAATTGAAAATTTGATATACATGTTAAATAGATTTGACTATTACACTCAGTATCTAATTGGGATATGACTATTTAAGACATCGGAGGACTATGGCTAGCGGTACCCATTTATATGACTATGACCTTCGCTTAATACTCTTTAACAACCAGAGGTGCTTTCTATGAGAGTTCCTCCACGAGACAAACCGAATGTGACAGATCAAAAAAATACAAATTTTGGAGTGCATTTTTTAGGTTTAGCGCCTGCTTTAAGGGTAGAATTGTAATAAACAAGTATAAGTGGGTTTTAGAAGTTAAATAGAAATCTCAGATTTCATGTTAATCCATTAAAGAATAGATTAGTCACGCAATCACAATTCAGCAGATCGATCAAAATTCGAGTACCCTTACGTCCTGCAAACCCGAACTTCCGTTTAAAATTTAGATAATTAGATATTACAGACGTTTTTTATTTACTAATTGTATATAAGAATAATATGAAAAATTTTATTCTGAAAATTTTACTTAGAGACCAAAAGTAGGTTATAATAGTAAAATTTTGCGTTAACTACGGTTTGTTAGTTTTTTGTATTTGTTTTGTTGCACGAAGTCTTTATTAGGATTTGCAGGACATAACGATAAGTGTACCCTCCAAAATTCAGGTCGAAATAGCCGGAATTGATCAATTTTTCTAATAATTGGTACTCATGTACTAAGTAAAGTTACCTGATGAGACGGCTATAGTCTAAATAGTTAAAAATTTGATATGAAATTTTGGCAAAAAAAATAATCGAAACAAATGAACACATTTAGAATGTTCATATGTTTGATAATATACGTTAATTGAAATCTGATAAGAGAAGTTCAATTTCTTCCAAGGCTATACGATCGGGAGGATTATAAATGCAGCATTTTTCTACTATTTTTCTTAATACACCTGGTGTATCTCTTTCTCTAAGTTCATCAGTTAGATCATCAATTCTTTTAGAACGTTTAGCTTCTTCAATTTCATTACTATCCATGCCATCATATGGTCTATATATAATGAAATTATTCATATGTCAAAATCATAATTGTTAAAAAAAATATACTTATATTTACATACTCTTTCCCATTTGTCAAAATTTCCCATGCAACTAAACCAAAACTATAAATGTCTAATAATCAAAAAGAATTAGTTTACTAATAAATAAGAAATATACTTGAGCAAGTTTTAAACATACCTGAAAGGTCTGGTTGACCTTTATAATAGTCTTTCATTTTCTGATCTTCGGAAATGTACTCAGGTGAAACCCATTGGAGTGATTCTAACAATATTAGAAATATATTTATAAATTTGCCATGCAAAAGTAACAAAATTCAAGATATTTATTTACTTCGGTTCGCATATCCAATATCTCCAATATCTAATCCAGACTTCATATAGCTAAACCCGAAGTCCGCAATCTTTAATGTTAAATTGTGATCAAAAATATTTGCAGCCTTCATGTCTAGATGTGCAATATCATTTTCATGACATGCTAGCAGCCCTCTTGAAACATCAATAATCCATCCTGCTTTGATTTTCCAATCAAGTAGATTTCTTGAAAGATATTCATGTAAATTTCCATTTCTTGCGTATTCCATAACCAGGCAGATCCTGTCATTTGGCTTTCTAACCACGCCGTAGAAGGTTATTACATTTTTTATGTTCGAATTCGAACTCCTTAGATGACGATGTTTTCTAAGTTCACGGATTACTTTATTCACATTTACCTTGCCGTCAAAATGTTTTACTATAAATGTAAAAACAATATTATCATAAATATATGGGCCTTATTTTAACTTTATTTTTTATAAAATTCATAAAAGGATAGTCGACCTGCAACTTTAAGCTCTTTGTATTTTCCAAGTTCAATTTTACTTGCTCCATTATGAATTTTGTCACCATTCCATTGACCATCCTTGTGAGAAATAACGATACTTTGACTCATGTTCGATAAATCATAGAATAACAAAATCTGATATTAAGTGTTTAAAATCAAGCATATTTATGGAGATGTGGATGTTTATCATGTGCCATTACACTTTTGTTTATTCTAATCTCATTTAAAAGAACCTTAGTTCAATCTTAAAACAGTATAGTTTCTAGACAGGTAAATAATTCCTATGTAAGTTTATATTAACTTCTGTAGAGATAATCGGTGTTCTATGTTTAATTCTATACGCAATTTCTCTTTTATTTATTTTCTAAATAGGTAATTAGGCGTAACAACTTCTATGTAAGTTTATATTGGATTAAATAGATGGATTAATGCAAAATTTCACATTTTTTCATAAAGCGAGTGAATAGGATGGAAGTTTCAACTAAAATTATTGCATCAAGATAACAAATCGTGAGTGATGGAAAGAACAAAATATTTAACAAAGTTCTAAAATGCGAATTGATAGGTATGATACTTAAAGGTTGTAAGTTTATATTTAAGGACGTATCTAATTGTAACAACATGTTACACGCTTATTTGTAACAACTTACTTAGTACAGCCAATAAAAATTCGTGTAATCCAAGCCCTAACTCTAACTACTATTGGATAATTACTGTAACATGTTACAAATACATTTATTCTATATTTAATTAAGTATTGATATCTACAATATCTGAATATGAACTGACACGAATTCGGAATACTTATCATGAATGTGATTAGAGATTAACTTTCGTGAAGATCCTTACTCAATTTCTGTCAAAGTTACAATTATAGATGCTGGTGAAACTGGTGAAACTCTTGGTGAATGGGGTGAAACTGGTGAACTGATGAAATTTAATATAACAGCCAATCAGATTTTAGATAGTCACCAGTTTCACCAGCGTTATTTGTTTCACCAGCATCTATAGTTACAATGCATACCAATACTATGCATTATTG